GGCAAGTATCTAGTAAACTGGCCCCCTCCAGTGCTTTGGAAGCGTCGGAGATGGAAGGCAGCTGTATGGAGTCCCCAGCAACAAGGTGCAGAAACTGCTGAAGGGGACAGTGAATTATTTTGAGCCTGGTGGGCCCATGGCACTTCAGGCCATCAGGGCAGAGATGCAACATAGAGATGGACTCATGATGGAGGGGTGGACTTAGCAATGGACGCTATTGACTAGTTGATTCACGTCTGTGAACACTGCACACAGCCTCTCCTGTTCTGAAAGACTGTTATAAGAGATGAAACCCGGTATCATGGACCAAATGGACTCAGCAGCTTTATAGGGATTGGTCCATGCGCTAAGAAATGATCTCTTTCTCACTGTCTGTGTGTATATATGGATGTATATATGTAAGAGCAATGGCATATTGAAAATGTAGGATCTGAGCATGATGTGAACGGTATGCAATAAGGGCTGGATACTGGTTTAGCAGTAGCAGTCATATTTCTCCTTCTTAGTAGCTGGTTCAGCGTTGTGTTTTGACTTTCGGCCTGGGAACAGAGCTGGTAACACCAATGTTTTTAGTTCTTGCAAAGTCATGTTTCCTCTGACCAAGGGCTTTGTGAGCCTCATGCTCTGCCAGGGAGGAGGGGAAGCCTGTAGGAGGCAGAGACAGGACACCTGACCCAAACTGACCAAAGAGGTATTCCATACCACCACACGTCATTCCCAGGATGTAACTGAGAGTTACCTGGAAGGGCTAGGACTCCAGGTTAGAGGAGGTATTGGTCGCTGCTTGGTCAGGCTGCGGGGCGAGTTATCAGTCTGCTGGTGCTGAGGTGCTATATTCTCTTCCCTTGTTACTTCCTTTATCATTATTATTCTTGGTGGTATCAGTAGTGATTTGTGTTATACCTTAGTTACTAAACTGTTCTTATCTCAACTCGTGGGGGTTGCATAATTTTCGATTCTCCTCTCCGTCCCTCCGGGAGTAGGGGGAGGGCAAGAATTGGGGGAGTGAGTGAACGAGCTGCCTGACTAGTTTTAAACCATGACACTTGACTTGCCTAGCCTTGCCTGACTTGGCCTGGCCTGGCCTTGCTTTGACGTGCCTTCGTTCTATTGCCTTGCCTTGTAATGCCTTGCCTTGTATTGCCTTGCTGTGCATTGCCTGGACTTGCCTGGTCTTGCCTGGCTTGGCCTTGCCTGGCATTTCCTTGCCTGGCCTTGTCTTGCCTTGCCTGGCCTTGACTGGCCTTGCCTTGCCTTGCCTGGCCTTGCCTTGCCTTGCTTTTCCTTGCCTTACATTTCCTTGCCTTACCAGGCCTAGCCTGGCCTAGCTTGGCCTTGCCTGGACTTACCTCTCCTTGCCTTGTCTTTCCTTGCCTTGCGTTGGCTGGTCTTGCCTTGCATTGACTTATCTTGTCTGGCCTTTCCTGGCATGCCTTGGCCTGGCCTTGCTTTGCCTTGCATTGAATTGCCTTTCCTTACCTTGCATTGCCTTGACTGTCCTGGCCTAGCCTGGTCTTGCCCTGCTTGACATGACCTGTCAGGCCTTGCAGGGCTTGCCTTGCCTTCCCTTGCCTTGCCCTTCCGGGGCTGACCTAGCCTTGCCTTCCCTTCCCTTCCCTTGCCTTGCCTTGCCTTTCCTGGGCTGGCCTAGCCTTGCCTTCTCTTGCCTTCCCTTGCCTTACCATGCCTTGCCTTGCCTGGCATTGCCTTGCCTTGCCTTGCCGGGCATTCCCTTGCCTTGCCTTGCCCTGCCTTGCCTTGCCTTGTCTTGATCTACCTTGAACTTCCTTGCCCTGCCTTACCCTGGCTAGCCGTGCCTTGACTTGACTTGCCTTTCATTGCCTTGCCTTGCCTTTCCTGGCATTGCCTTGACTTACCTTGCCTTGCCTTGATCTGCCTTGAACTTCCTTGCCCTTCCTTGCCCTACCTCTCCGTGCCCTGCCTTACCCTGCCCTGCCCTGCCTTACCCGGCCCTGCCCTGCCCTTCCTGGCCTTGCCTTACCTTGCCTTTCCTTTCCATAGCTTGTTTTGCCCTGCCTTGCCTTGCCTTGCCTCGCCTCGCCTCGCCTTGCCCTGCCTTGCCTTGCGCATCCTGGCCCTGACTTGCCTTGCCTTTGCAGGGCACTGCAGGTACAGCTGAAAATTCCCTGACTCTTCCTTGGTCCATGGTTGAGTTGCTTTGCAAATAAATCTGACTCTACAGCTCTAACACCAAAAGGAACTGTTCACCTTCATGTGCAGCAGACACACAGATCTCTTGCTGTGTCATGTGCACTTGCCAGTTACTGAGGAAAGTATCCATGGGCTGGGAAAGAAACAGCACAGGAGGAAATTTTTAGTTAATTGTTGCTCTTCCTGGTAAAACCTGTAGGGCTCTAGCATCTTGTTCCATATTTTCCGTGGTCACTGGAATGGGTTTCATTATTAAAAAAAGTATTTCATTTTCTACTTCCCTGTCTTCCAGGAGAAACAGCAGCAAGGGCCTCCCCTTGTGCCACAGTTTGTGACACTGTGCAAGACGTGACAAGAAAAACAGATGGGGTGGTACTTGTGGAGAAGCCTGTGGGCTGTAGAGCTTCATCAGGGACAAGGACAGGTTTCTGTGTAAGCACTGACTCAGTTCAGCCCAGCTGTGCTGTACTGAAGAGCAGCACCCCTCACTGCCCTGTGCGGAGTCGGGGCTGGGGTGCGTGCTCCCCACCCCTTCTCTCCTGCCTCCTTTGTCTGCAGTGAAACAGAAACTGTGTTCTCTGAAGAAATTCTTTCTGGTGAGGGTGGTGAGACACTGGAACGTGTTTCCCAGAGAAGTCCCCCATGCCTCTTGTGAAACTGTTTAGGATTTAGGGAATGCCTGATCAACCTGAAAGAGCTCCTGGGATGAGCAGGGAGTATCCAACTTTCCTGATCTCTGTGTGCTGCTCCCACCTTTGCCAGGCAACCAGAGCTCCTGGTGCAGCCAGGGAGCAGCCAGCATCCAACTCCTTGCACTGTGCAAAGGCTGGGGCCTAACAGGAACTCCTGGGGAAGCAGAGGGCTCCAGGAAATGGGGGGGAAGTGCATCAGCACATTCCATCCCGTAACTAAAGTCAGTCCATCTTTCTCAGAGTGCTGTGCTCACCTCTTGCTGCTGTGCCAACAAAGAGAGTAGTGCTGAATTCCAGTTATAAATTGAGGTCAATGTCTGGTTGCTTTACTCAATTGTTAAGAATTTCTTAAATGGGTTTAATTACAATTATATATATGGACAGGTTTCTGCATCAACATAACTTGTCCAGCTGATTTCTATGCTCTAATGTATAGCAGAATGTTTAACAACAAACAGAATAGGATATAAATTAGTGAAATTAAGGTAGGATGTAAAATTCAACTTTAAAGCCCCAGTTGCTGTTGCTGACCATCCAACCAGTGCATCCTACCAGAGATGTTCTCATGCTCAGTGCGTGGACTTCCCAGGGATAGGTTTGGTTGGACTCGATGTTCTCAAAGGGCCATTTTCAAATTAATTGACTGATTGTAATAAACGAAGATTTATAGCCTTAAATCTTTGTATCATCAGGCTGCTTCCCATGGTGTTTCCCTGGAGCCCCAGGGAGCCCTGGAAGGAGCCCAGTGGGGCAGAGGCAGAGGCACCTTGGGCTGGGCCTCTGCTGCTGAACTGGGACAGAGGGGAGACCTGTGAGACACAGGGAGCTTAAAGGCACTTGGCAGTGGCGGATGCTGAGGAGGAGGAGGAGGAACCTTCTGAAGGAGAAACCTTCCCAGCCCTGTTTGTGGTAAGGCACTGGGTGCAGGGCAATGCAGCTGCAGTTTCTCTCTGTAGATAAGGAGGAGGATGTGCTGCAGAGCAGGGCTTCCCCCTGCACCATGCAGGACAGGACAAGGCAGGTCCCTTGTGCCAGGGCTGGCTGCAGGGTGTGAATGTGGGTGTGCAGCCAGGGGTGCCCAGCGCTGCCCTTGCAGCAGGGTCCCTGCAGCCCAAAGGCTGTGTGCAGGGGCAGGGATTCTGCTGCCTGCCAGGGTCAGCACTCGGCCTGCCCGGGAGCTCCCCATGGAGCTCAGGGGGAGCTGAGGGGAAGGGAACAGCCCCTGGCAGAGAAGGGAAGTGCTGGGTGGGTGACGCTGCTCCAATCTGCCGTCACTCTGAGCACTTCTTCAGAGGGTCCCTCTGAAAGACACTGAGGCATCATTTACCTGATAGGGAAGGATCCTGAGCTTTGATGTTTTTCCCTCTTGGTGGGCAGGTTGGGCAGTGGGAGCTGGGAATTTACTTCTCTGCTTTGGGGGGGGCACCGAGAGTCTTGTGAGGGCTTGTGTGAGCTGCTCCTGAGCCCCTGCACAGGCAGGGGTGTGCAGGGCAGAGCTGAGCACACAGCCCATGGCATGGGCTCTGGGAGCACTGAGAGGGAGCAGAGCTGGGCACAGAGCAGCAGCTCCTGGCAGGGACAGCTCCAGGCAGCAGAGATATGGATGGGCAGGGAGTAGGGGGAAAGTGCAGCCCAGCCCTGGGGAGGGTGCGTTCAGGCAGCTCTCTTGGGGTCTGCCACTGGAGGCGGCTGCTGGCCGTGCTCTGCTGCCCACAGCCCTTTGCTTCTCTCCATGAGAGCTCCGTGATCTTCTCTTTGAAACCGTTCTCCCCTGGTCTCAGCACAGGACAGATGTTTGTGGGAGTTCTTAAGATCAATTTGTGTGTGAAGGCACCTTACAGGCAGTGCAAGTTTGAGCACAGAGCAAGTGGGAGAGGACTGATGGACACTGCAGCTCTCTTGGTTCTGCAAAGAACTGAGACTTTTGGACTGATGCAATGATCTTCTGATTGTACCTAGGAAGAAGCCTCAGCAGTGTAATGACATCACTTGCAATGACGCTGAACGTCTCCTCTCCTGCTAAAATGTGCTCAGTTGTGAATGTGTAAACTGAACTTCTGTATCTGACATCCCTCCTGTCCTGACCTGTCACTGCCTTTTTCTCCTCTGACGGTGCCCCATGCCCAGAGGCAGCAGATGTCCAACAGCAGCTCCATCACCCAGTTCCTGCTCCTGCCATTCTCACACACGCGGGAGCTGCAGCTCTGCCACTTCTGGCTCTTCCTGGGCATCTCCCTGGCTGCGCTCCTGGGCAACGGCCTCATCATCACCAGCACAGCCTGCGACCAGCGCCTCCACACCCCCATGTACTTCTTCCTCCTCAACCTCTCCCTGCTGGACCTGGGCTGCATCTCCACCACTGTCCCCAAATCCATGGCCAATTCCCTCTGGGGCACCAGGGCCATCTCCTACACAGGCTGTGCTGCACAGCTCTTTTTTGTTCTCTTTTTCATCTCAGCAGAGTATTCTCTCCTCACTGTCATGTCCTACGACCGCTACGTGGCCATCTGCAAGCCCCTGCACTATGGGACCCTCCTGGGCAGCAGAGCTTGTGTCCACATGGCAGCAGCTGCCTGGGGCACTGGGTTTCTCAATGCTCTGCTGCACACGGCCAATACATTTTCACTGCCCCTGTGCCGAGGCAATGCTGTGGAGCAGTTCTTCTGTGAAATCCCCCACATCCTCAAGCTCTCCTGCTCACGCTCTTACCTCAGGGAAGTTGGGCTTCTTGTGGTTGGTGTCCTGATTACTGTTGGCTGTTTTGTTTTCATTGTGGGGTCCTATGTGCAGATCTTCAGGGCTGTGGTGAGGATGCCCTCTGAGCAGGGACGCCACAAAGCCTTTTCCATGTGCCTCCCTCACCTGGCCGTGCTTTCCCTCTTTGTCAACACTTCTGTCTTTGCTTACTTGAAGCCCCCCTCCGTCTCCTCCCCATCCCTAGATCTGGTGGTGTCAGTGCTGTACTCGGTGGTGCCTCCAGCAGTGAACCCCCTCATCTACAGCCTGAGGAACCGGGAGCTGAAGGATGCTGTGAGGAAGCTGGTGACCAGATGTGTTTCAGCAGATATACGCTGCTTGTTTTACCCTGGAAAGGGTTTCCAGTGTAGGTCATGACAGGCCATGCCTGTCTTTCCTGCTTTACATTTGTTTTCCTATTTCAATTTGTGATGATGTTGTGTTCATAGAAATGTCAGGTTTCATTTCCTAATTAAGTTGCCACTCGTGCTGTGTGACCCACAGACTTTGTGTCACTCTGGTCTCTGATTGTACTTAAGGGAAATAAATGATCCTGCAGCAACTTCTTCTCTGTGATACGTCCTCACATGTCAGGAATGAAGGGGAATGAAAGCAGCTTTCTGGCTGCTCCAGCTGTGGGATGGCTGCTCTGTGCCTGCAGCAGGAAGAGCTCTTGGGGAGCCCAATGAATGGGGCTGTTGTGCTGGTGTGGGGAGATGGGAAGGCATGGGGGGGGGGGGGTGCAGAGCTCTCAGGGTGTCCTGGGCAGGAGAGCAGGGGACACAGGGGTCCTTGCAGGGAACTCCCCTGCAATGGCACAGGCTGGGGCTCCCTGGCAGGGTGCAGCCCATGGGAAAGGTCTGCGTGGGCAGGAGCTGGACAGGAGGCAGCAAGGGAGGACAGCAGCATCGTGGGCTGTATGAGCAGGAGCACGGCAGGAGAACAAGGGAAGGGATGATCTGGAATCCTCCATCCAGGTTTCAGATCCCCAGTTCAGGAGTGGGTTTAGTAATGGGCCCTCAGGTCAGGAGATACTGGAGCACGGTGTCTGTGGGGAGAGTCTGGGGGAGCTGGACTTGTCCAGCCTGGAGAAGGGAAGGCTGATGGTGACCTGAGATCTTGGGAAGGGAAGGCTGTTGGGGACTGGCTGCCTGTAGCGGCAAGGAAGACATGGAGAATACAGAGCCAGGCTCCTCACCATGGTGCCTGGTGGGAGGACAAAAGGCAGTGGGGGATAGTGACAGAGGAGAGGTTCAGTCAGGACAGAAGGAAACCTTGTTCCCATCGGCTCGGTCAAGTGCTGCATCAGGTCACCCAGAGAGGCTGTGCAGTCTCTGGCCTTGGGGATTGCCAACTCAGCCTGAATCAAGCCTTGAACCACTTGCTCTGACCCTGCTCCTGACAGGTTCGACTTGAGACCTCCTGGGGTCCCTTCCAACCTCTGTTCACTTCTGATCCTACAATGATGGGCTTATGAAGGGTCACAAAGATGCTCCAAGGGCTGGACTACATCTCCAATGGAAACAGGCTGAGAGATGTGGGTGTTCAGCCTGGAGAAGAGAAGGCTCCAGGGAGATATCTTAGCAATCTCTCCATATCTAAGCAGGGCCTACAAGAAATGTGGAGAGGGGTTTTTGCAAGGGCCTGCAGTGACAGAACAAGGGGGAATGGCTTTATGCTGAAAAAAGGAAGATTCAGCTTGGACATTCAGATGAAGTTGTTCCCTTTGAGAGTGGTGCGACACTGGCACAGGGTGCCCAGGGAAGCTGTGTCTGACCCATCCCTGGCAGTGCTCAAGGCCAGGTTGGATGGGAGTCAGCTTTGTTCTGAAGCAGTGCTTTGTCCACCTCTGATGTTCACAAAGTATGACAGATGAAATCCAATTTCATTGTAAAGTTCACTACTTGTACTCATGACTCAAGTGAGTCTGGGCTGCACAAGAGAGGCTCAGCATGGCCTTAGAGTTATTTGGACTGTGTTACTTATTTACTGGCATAACACTTTTGGGGGGGGGGACGGGACTATAAAACATTCTTTGTATGACATAAAATCAGAACAATATTGACACAGGGAGAAGTTCTCAGCTCCTTGTAGCTTAGTGCAGAGCAAGGAGGGCTGCAGTGTCCATCAGTCCTTTCCCATTTGCCCTGTGCTTACAACACTTGTATATGATGCCTTCACACACAAATTGATCTTAAGAACCCCACAAACACCTGTCCTGTGCTGAAAGCAGGGGAGCACGGTTTCAAAGAGAAGATGATGGAGCTCTCATGGAGAGAAGCAAAGGGCTGTGTGCAGCAGAGCACGGCCAGCAGCCACCTCCAGTGGCAGACCCCAAGAGAGCTGCCTGAACGCACCCTCCCCAGGGCTGGGCTGCACTTTCCCCCCACTCCCTGCCCATCCATATCTCTGCTGCCTGGAGCTGTCCCTGCCAGGAGCTGCTGCTCTGTGCCCACCTCTGCTCCCTCTCAGTGTTCCCAGAGCCCATGCCATGGGCTGTGTGCTCAGCTCTGCCCTGCACACCCCTCCCAGCAGCAGGACTCTGCCCAGGGGCATCTCTGCCTCTGCAGGAACCTCACACCTGGCACTCAATGGATCCATCAGTGGTGAATGGAGAAACATGGTCAGCCCCTGAGGAAAGCCTTGAGAGCTTCTTAGCTCTTCAGTTACTTACTGGTGGCAATGAGCAGTGTGTAGGGAGGTGAGAGAGGGTGGAGGGAAGTCAGCAAGAATCAAGGTGATGGTTCAGAGCTTTAACAAATCCTTACAAGCATGATGGAGCCCAGCAATGGAGAGCAGTTGGTGTCTGTAGGTGGAGGAGGAGTAGGTGTTCCTGGAGTGTGGCTGCAGGCCAGGCCCTGGACAAACCAGAGGCTATCTGAGAAGTTTCCCTCATGGGAACATGCCTCAGCGTGGCACATGGGGAATGCCCACTGCTGGGGGTGCCTGAATGCTGCTCATCATGCCCCATGAGCCCACCTTCCTGTCTCCCTCTCTTGCACTACCCAAACTTGCCTGGAATGCAGGATCCATCCCTGAGCCTGGGGAATGCAGGAATGCTCCAGGAGTCCCTGCAGGGGGACCAGCCTCTGCCCAGCCGGCTCGGGGAGGTCCCTCACAGGCTGCTCTTCCTCAGTGCCTTTGGTCCGGAGGTGGAGCATGCGAGGGGTCACAGCTCAACCTGGGCAATGGAACAGGGCGCCACGGCCACCTACGAGGAGTGGAGAGGGACCGACATTGGCACAGCAGAGAATCATGGAATCCCAGAGTGGGTTAGGGTGGAAGGGATCTTAAAGCTCATTGAAAGCGCTACGACAGGTAGGGACATCTTCCACTAGAACAGGTTACTCATGTGGTCACTCCCGGAGAACCCCTGGGTGCACAGTGCCACCCCAATAACAGCACAACCCCCCCCAAACCACCTTGTCCTGCTTCTCCTATGGGATACAGGGTCAGAGCCTCAAAACAGACCCAAAACAGGACAAAAACACCCCAAAAAAACAGCCCAAACCCATCTTCTCCTGCTTCTCCTATGAAACACAGGGTCAGAACCAAAAAACAGCCACACAAACAGGACAAAACCACCCCAAAACCACCCAAAACAAGACCGAAACACCCCCAAACCACCCCAAAACTATCCCAAAACCACCTTATCCTGCTTCCCCTGTGGGATACAAGGTCAGAGCCCCAAAAATGGACAAAAAAAGCCCCAAAGCACACCCAAAACCAGCCCAAAAATGCCTTCTCCTCCTTCTCTTACGGGATATAGGGTCAGAGCCCCAAAACAGCCGTAAAACAGCCCAAAAACAGGGGAAAACCAGACCAAAACATGCAAAGAAAACCACAAAAAAGGCCAAAATCACCCCAAAATCACCTTGTCCTGCTTCTTCTTTGGAATACAGGGTCAGACCCCCAAAAAGACCCAAACAGGACTAAACAGCCCAAAACAACTCCCAAAACAACCCCAAAACACCCAAAAAAAAAACCTAAAACCACTTTATCCTGCTTCTCCTATGGGATACAGGGTCAGACCCCCAAAACAGACCCAAAACAGGACAAAACTAACCAGAAACACCCACAAAACACCACCAAACAACACCAAAACCACCTTGTCCTGCTTCTCCTGTGGAATACAAAGTCAGAGCCCCAAAACAAACCCAATAGAGGCAAAAACCAGGCCCAAACCAACCCAAAACCCAGAAAACAGCCAAAACCACCCCAAAACCACCTTGTCCTGCTTCTCCTATGGGATACCGGGTCAGACCTCAAAAACAGGACAAAAACAGCCCACACCCACACCAAAACCAACTTCTCCTGCTTCTCCTGTAGGATATAGGGTCAGAGCCCCAAAAGAGAGGCATAAAACAGGAGAAAACCCAAAACCACCGAAAAAACCAAAACAAACCCAAACCACACCAAAAACACTTTGTCCTGCTTCTCCTAGGGGATACAGGGCCAGAGCCTCAAAACAGCCAAAAACACCCACAAAACAGGAGAAAACCAGCCCCAGACCACCTTGTCCTGCTTCTCCTGTGGGGTACAGGCTCAGAGCTCCAAAACAGTCCCAAAAGAGAACAAAACCACCCCAAAACATACCAAAAACCATGCCAAAACCACCTTCTCCTTCATCTCCTGTGGGATACAGGGTCAGAGCCCCAAACCAGACCCAAAACAGGCCAAAACCAGACCAAAACCAAAACAAAACAGCCAAAACAGCCCTTCAGAAAACCACAACCACCCCAAAAACACCTTATCCTGCTTCTCCTGTGGGATACAGGATCCATCCCTGAGCCTGGGGAATGCAGGAACCTCCTGCAGTGGAGGTGCAAAGCTTCTGTGAGACACTTGTGAGTGCGGGCAGAGAGCGGGGAGTGCGCAGCAGAGAGGGTGCTACAGGCAGGAAGCTGTCCCAGATGAAGCGCCCTGTCCCCAGAGCATGGGGTACCTTGCACCCAAGGACACCACCTTTCCTTTTGGCTTTTGCCAACAAGTTCTCAATCCAGACCATTGTGTTTTCCCACTGCTCTCTAATGGTGCTTTTTTCTCTAGACTGATTGCATCACCTATTCCTCTAGAAGCCTCCTTTAGATCAGCTTGCTGAGGGGTATTCACTCCACCCGTTGAATTGACACTGTAGTAGCAGCCTACAACTATGTGAAATGTGGCTGCAGAGATGATGGAGGTTTTCTTGCTAGCAGGAAGAGAAGGAAACCTCTGCAAAGTGCAGCTTGGAAGGTTCAGATTCGAAGTTAGGAAAGAGAAATGTCTCTCAAAAGGTGGACTTGTGGTGACTTGTGGTCACCCAGAGGGAGTCTGGCTCAGCCCATGGCTTTGTGTTTCAAGGAACAGACAGCCATGGGTGCAGAGATGGGACTGAAGGTACAGAAATGCCAGGTGAGAGCTAGGTGGGAAAGCAAGATGGGTGTCAACAGCCTGAAGGGAAAGTGGTGCAGGCATGGGCCAGTGTAGGACAGCCTGCAGCAGAGATGACAGGGTTCTGGCATGGCTGAAAGGCCCAAAAGAACAAAAGGCCTCTGTGCCCTGGGCTATGGCAGTTGCCTCTTTCATCAAGGCCTATGAGGAGAACCTTCATCCTCAGG